TGATACCTTTATTCGAGATCAAGTCCGAAAGCTACATGCTCCCGAAGCTGGCAGAGGCCACTACTCAATGTTCGTAGTGAAGGCATCGAAAGCCCCTCCTGAGGATCAATGAAAAGCCTCAACGGGAACAGTCACGTGCGATATGGGCAACCAAGACTTAAGAAGGCTCAAGATACCAGCACATCGTTCCTGGACGCACACACACGCATAAATATATATATAATAAGGGCAAGTATAGGAGAAACGTAGTGGATCACATGTTGGCAGGTATTAAACCTGCTTTAAGAGATAAAAACAGGGTAACACTTTTAGCAACTTATGGCTCAAATGGTTCTAGACTCCAATTTTGCGTACTTTTGTCTAATGTTTGTCTCTCCAAGAGAACAACTGCTATTTCATGCCGCAACTCTGCAGTTTCACATATAGAAATACAAAGGTTAATTTTGATTGCGATATGAAGAACACTAAGTCGCACGGCTCTGTCGAGGAGCGTGAAAGTATACATTCGTTGCTGACAATGGCCTGCGTATTGCACCTGTGTGTACTTAGTTAATAACAGAATACATATGAGGCGTCAAGATTGATGAGGAAGGAGAGATGCATAATAAATGAACGAAGAATCGTCTTTGTCCGCAATCTGAACGTTGTTTATTGGCTCCATGTCAGAGTGTGGTTGAGTGACATGGAGCGCTGTTTTGTTAAACTTGCAGTGAGAGAACTCTTAATTGAAAAGAAAATATTTTATTACGTGTATGAAAATCACTGACTTACTGCTCTGTGTGGGAAAGGGTATTGGTGGCTGAAAGTAGAAAGAAAAATATTGGTAAAGAAGACACAAATGCTAAAATAAAAAAGTACAAAAGACCCTGAATTTTCGCTTTTTGGACGGGGACACGCACTTATAGAGTGGTTTCAGGGTACCAATAAAGTTTGGTGGGCTGAACTACATTGCCCAAATACGCAAAGAAAGGTTTATTTGCACGCTTTTGCGGTGTTAGGCAGGCTAAAGGGTCAAACACAAAGTAAAACTATGAAATGTTTTGAATTATCGGTTGCATTCAATGTTCATAAAGCGCCCGATCATTGTTGGCACACGTTGCCGAGGAATTGCCGAGGAATTCTGAATGGCTGCCACGGCGTCTTCCTTACCGCACAAACGACGGCGTAAACTGTTCTAGAGATATGATTGTAGTCTTGTCTAGGCTTTTTATATCATTCGAAAGGTGCTAGTCATAGTGACACAATTAGTGAGACTTCAGAACGCGACATGTGAGTGTTTGTTGCTTTCGTTCTAATTCTTTGCAGCACGGGGGTCACTCCAGGTAACTACCTTTTCTTCATTTTTTCTTCTTGAAAGACCAGAGCCCCACATGCCGGTTCACAAATGGCGCATATTTTAAAGCTTTCCGCAATTTGACAGTGATGACGCCACTTCATTCGTTGTTCAATTTGGCATGCTACGTTTGCTTCTTTCGGCCTACATCGTCCTCAAGGTGCGCTAAAAGGTGGACCCGAGGTATTTTTAATGATGTATAAGTTTGTGCTGCTCATACTATGTTGATAGTGTAGGAGGTCGTGTTTTAATAGTAGCTACGCTACGTAGTTTAGAGAGGAAGAGCTCTACATTCACTGAGAACTTGACCACAAGCCCCTTACTGCATGTTAGTCACTTCCGGTGACGGCCATGCATATCTGTTGAACTAAAATTGTCATTTTTTTGTACCTGGGAGAAAATAATTTTCTGTGAGATATCTTGCCATTGTTTCAATAAAGCTCGGTGTCCCGCCAAAACAGCAGTTCTGTGCTTGAAAGAGTTAAACGCTGGTGATGGTTGGCAGGCGAAGAAATCTCGCGTCACACCCCTTACAGTGGGATTTAGAACAATTTCAACCTTTCTGCTTGAAAATAGTGCCAAATCTTGTAGATGCTAATCAAAACCATGTGACTGTGCGGGACGCTGATTGTACTGTTTTAACTCTACTTTAATTACGAAAGTAAGCTAGACGAAAAGACAGCTTGCCACTGGTACGTTCGTACGCAGGCATCAGCATGTTGTTGTTTTTTCGGGCGCTTCTTTCTTTACATTGAATCGGAATTACTAAATGGCGACAAAATTATCAAATAAAATTTTATATACCTTATTTATCATCATTGTGTTTTCATCAATGTTATATCAACAAAACAAAGTAGCCCTCAGAATCGTTTCTTTCGGTTGACCTTGTAGATATTGTCCACCTTGGTGTTTTTATCAACAAAGCTATTCGTTGTTCATGCTGTAGCCGTTATTTTAGCGTGTTGATGGTTGGTGGCGTCCAGGAACTCCAAAGCATTGTCAAAGAAGCCCACCCAAGGTAACCAAATGTGCCGTTGCGGTGTACCCGCAATGGCACAGTACGTCAGCAGTGGTGCTACTCAGTCGTACTGCCGGCGAAACAGTGGCAACATAAGTTTCTGCGTCGAAGCCTACGTGAAACGCCACAAGCTAGAGTGAAAGTACAGAAAGCTTGACCTCAAGCTTAGTCGACTGACTTTAAGCAAAGAGCCAGAGACCCTTCGAAACGGTTCCTTTATGTCAGCGGCAGAACTGGGGGACTTCGTGCGGAGCCTTTCGCTGCCCGGGAGTCCTTCCCTTCCTGGCAGAATCATCGGCGTCGACTGTTCTGAAGATATACTTGAGTACGCGAGACGCAGCCAAACCGACACGAAGATCAGTTCGCAGTGCGCGACATATGTGCCAATGTCAAACATTTTGATGAGATTGCGTTAATGAGTTCTTTTAGTAGATATTCCGGCCTTGGTGTCGGTGTCGGCGCTGCTGGTAGTGATAGAAAAATCATCTTGTGCCGGAACAAGAATCAGAAAGACGAAAGTAAAATAGATCGAAAAATTCTGAATCATAACTGAGTCAAACCCAGGTCTTTTGCAGGGCAAGCGGGTTCTCTACCACACAGCCACACTTCTATTTGTGAATGCAGTAAAAATAACTTCTACTTAGAAATGCACCGAATGTAACTTTCATGCTTTAAAGCACACGCGTCCTGTACACATGCTTCGTAATGCGACAGGAAATATTGCACTAATATTGCGTGGTACCAGCGTACACTGTTATTGGATGTCGAAAAATGTGATTATCACCATGAATTGATGCTTCAAAGCCGGTCATTCACTACAAAAGGCACACACATTATGCACCTATTCCTTTAAAGCCACATAGTGGGCACATAGCAAGTTCGAAAAGATTTCCTGCACTGCGTGCTTGAAGTGCTAGTAGTGCTAAAAGAGATTGGCCAGTTCAGAAGTGCAAACTTTTTCTTCTCAATTCTGTGGCTCGATGACACGCATGCATCGTTCAGGAACATCCGCAGGCTTATGTCACCTGCGTGGGAAAACATGTTCGTCTTGTGCGCAGCGGCGGAACCAGCTGAGGTTTGTAGCGGCCGCGGTAAGGAATCAGTAGATGACGAATTAGGAGGTAGATCTATAGAAGATGCCTGGATTTGGCCAATCATCTCACGACACGGTCCAACTAAACTTGACCAATCGCAAATGCCACATGTGGACAGTCTATGAGTTGCAAATATCTTGGAAAACCCCACTGCGTTAAGAGAGTCGCTATACGGTGGCTACGCCTAAATGCTGCATCGTGTGCTCAGCTGCGCGCGGCTGCACCCAGCCCGCCCAATCAGCGTGGGAGAGCATTAAAATCATCAACAAGATCTATACGTCTCCCGCACCTTTTGAAGTGAATATCCTGGTTCAGAGTTTGCCATTGCTGTTCAGAGGTCGCCATTACTCTTCTCAAACTTTAGTTGGAGTATGCATGCCACGCGGGTTAATCGCCATGTGACGCGAGAGTACGTGCGTTCGTCGCGCACTTGCAGAATCTCGTTCCAGGACTCCAATCACGTGATTGATGAGATAATGTACGGCCAAAGCCCTTCACACAGCCACTTATGCGTGCCCGAATGCGTTAATACGTACCAGCATGTTCTGACATGACTGATTGATTGATATATGAGGTGTAACGTCCCAAAACCACCCTAAGATTATGAGAGACGCCATAGTGGAGGGCTCCGGAAATTTCGACCACCTGGGGTTCTTTGACGTGCGCCCAAATCTTAGCACGCGGGCCTACAACATTCCCGCCTCCATCACAAATGCAGCCGCCGCAGCCGGGATTTGATCCGGCGACCTGCTGGTTAGCAACCGAGTACCTTAGCCACTAGACCACCGCGGCGGGGCATACGATATTCTGACTAGGATACAACGCGTTGGTTCATCACGCGTCTGCAGAAGTTCCCCGACGCCATAACGTGATTGCTGGGTGAATGTAACGGGTACACGCCACAGCCTTTAATCCGGCCCTTTACACAGGCTGGAACGTGTTGAAGCGTTTCACCGGAAAGATAGAAGACAGCTCATGAAAAGACAGCATAGGTGACGGGAGAACGATGTATTCTCAAGATATCAATATCGCGTGAATAACATTTCGTGTCAGCCGTGTTCGAATGAACCTTGTAGGAAATGAGACCTTGAAGAGAATGCCAACAAATACAGTGGTTCATGCCACAGTGAGTTTTTTTTACCATATAGAGATTACTTAATTGAATAGGTCTAATGATGGAGTATTGTAATTTAACGTGCTGGGTTTAATTTAGGCTTCACCGCTAGAATAACATTCACACCGACTTTTTTTTCAGAAAATTAGCTTCAATATCTTTTTTAATGTAGGTCAATTTTAGTTTTCCGCGCACCGTGCAGAGCATGCAGAATAATGACCATCATGCAAATGAACAGCATAAACTCCAATCATGCAGACTTCACGTGTTCAGGTGACCCGTCGTTTCTCTTCGCATGCAGCTGGATCCACAGGTGTCCGCCTGCCCTTTTCTCCGGCCCTAACCTCCGGACCGCACAGAACAGATTGTCAAGTTCTAAAATTACATCTAACATATCAATTACGTCTGTCAGTCTCGATGGAGCAGTTCTGATTTAAATTGAGGTCATTATATGCTATAATGTTCACATATGCCCCTGAAGGCCTTGTGCACGTACCGTAAGCTCTGCGGCAAGGCCAGCATTCACAGAATCACCTTGTCGCAACTGTCTTTCCTCCTTCGTACTGTCCAACGGAAAGTTGTTCATCTTCTGCGTAAGTTTGGTATTTTACTTCTGCATGACCGCAGCCACGTATATTAGATCACTGGCTTGACAGCTTTTTATGCATATCATAGTGTTTCCAGAAGCATTCACAATATATACATCACTGCCCCTATTCCTAATCAATGAGGCTCAAGGCTAATCATAAGGAGGATGTGGTGTGATATCAGAAAATGCAACAAAGCATTCAGCTGTGAAAAGTATAAGGAACAAGCAGGCCAGCGCATAGTAGCATTATACGGCGTTAGAAAACAGTTTCTGTCAATCGTTTGCAGTTCACTTGAACGGCAATGAAAGCACCAATTCATGTATGCGTCACGGCAGAAAAAATTTTTATGTAATTTTCTTTGAACTCGACCCCAGGCTACACGTCGTGACTGCAGTTTCATTCCGCCACTCTCAAGCCTGCGACCTCGACCACCGACCGCAAACCACAGCGTGGTAACTCGTACTGCTGGAGGAATGAATGTGGTAGACATAGGTTGCAGTCGAACTCTCGCATGGCGTATGGCTGTGCAAGGCTGATAGAAAATTCATAGGTGGCTGAAAAGATCACGTGGGATAGCAGGTCCATACTTCTTCAGTGGAGTAATGTTAATACCTCAATTCTGCGCCAAGTTTCCTGCCTCTTTTCGGGGTTTTGTTGACTTTCGGGAAGTGAGTCTAAATGAGCTTGCGGTGCTGTTTAATTTTTTATAAATTCGCGGGGATTGTGCTTCGCGGAGTCCTTGTGGGGGACGCACTGTGATATGCGAAACGCATTGCTTTTCTAAAGTAAGTTGTCGAAGTACCGTACTCAAAGAGATTTCATGTAGGTGTTTTGTACGACGTGCAATCGGGCAACGAAACCTGACGTAGAGGTATACATGATATGTCACTGTGAATACATAACAAAAGTCAATGTCACAGTTTCGTGAGCTCCCATTAATTAGAAGCTAGTAAGGTGGATTGAATCGGCTTGCTTTCGACTCTCGCTGCCAATAAGACTTTTCATCCCTAATTCTGCCTACCATTTCTGGGTTTTGCAGACTGATTCTGACATCAGGAAATCTGTAAGAATTCCCAAATATGCCTGCCCAAGGTACCACGCCCAGTATAACTGCTATCCAAGCTGTGAGTGGTACCCAAGCTACCACCCAGAGGGTCAATGGTCACACTGACCATCACAGGCGGCCATCTGGTGAAAACGTACGCCTCTGCGTTACGGAGTACGCGAAGCACAACATCATACAGCGCAGGTACAGCCAGTCTGTCCTCGACTTTTGCCGACTGGCCTTCAGCACAGAGCCAGACCCATCGCAACAGTTCCTCGACGTCGGCTGTGGCACGGGCGACTTCACCCGGGACGTCTTGATGCCTCAGTGCCTGCCCTGCCGGAGAATCGTCGGCGTCGACTGCTCACGAGAGATGGTCGAATACGCAAGACGCCATTCGGCCCACGAGAAGCTCCGATTCGAACTTCTCGATATCTGCGCTGACGTCACGTGGTTTCTGGAAAAGTTCGGTCAGTTTGAAAGGGTATACTCTTTCTTCTGTCTTCACTGGGTGGATGACATCAGCGCAGCGTTCAAGAACATCAGCAGGCTTATGTCGGCTACGGGCGAATGTCTCCTCGTGTTCTCTGCAGCGCAGGAGCCGGTGGAGCTTTGCAAGGTTGCAGTCAGAATGTACCCGTGGGCAAAGTACTCAGAGGTATGCTTTAAAAAGAAGCACACGCAGCTAGTCATTGATTGAGGTAAAACAGCTCGCGTTTCAAGTCACCAAAGCCCCAATGAATAAAAAAAAAGATAGTGTTGGCGGTGGTAGCTGGCTGGGCAAAGTAGTGGACTCGTAAAACAGACCCAAACGTAGATAGTAGAAGTCTATTGGCGTGGTCTAACGCCACCAATGCTGTGCATCGAGTAACTTTTGAGGATCTTCTCTGTGGCTGCGGAATTTCTAAAGATGAACATTGAGAAATGTTCATCTGATTTATCTGAAATGTTCATTAGAAATCTTCACCACTGAATTATTACATGTGGGGTTCAACAATGCAAAACCACGATGTGATTATGGGAGAGGCCGTAGTGAAGGGCTTCGGATATTTCGACCACCTCGGGTCCTCCAACGTGCACACCAAAATCTGAACACACGGGCCTACAACATTTTCGCCTCCAATGAAAATGCAGGCGCCCAGACCGGGATTCTACCCCGCGACCTACGGGTCTGCAGACGAGTACCTTATTCACTAGGCCACCACAGCGGGTGTTTCCATTCGCCAAAAATTAAGTGAAATAAAGGAAAAAGATAGCGCTGGTGCTGGTAGATGGCTGGGTAAAGTAGTGGTATCGTCAAGCACGCCGAAACGTAGCTAGTATAAGTCGATTGGCGTGGTCTAACGCCACCAATGCTGTGCATTGAGTAACTTCTGAGGCTCTGCTCTGTGGTTGCGGAATTTTAAATATGGACGTTGAGAAAGGTGTTCTAAGAAGATTCTGCTCAAGGTTGCGGAATTTCTAGAGTTGAACATTGAAAATGGGTTCTAAGTCGCATTAGTTATTAAGACCAGAGGCAGCAAGAAGTAGAAGGCAACAATTACTTGTGTATTGCGTTTAGATGCATTGCATACATTGTCTCCGCTCTCTAAGCACTGCAGCCAGAAAACACGTATAAAAACATTATTGTGTGACTTTAGTGTTATTATCACGCAGCATCTGCAAGGGAGTCCTCCTGTAATAGACATTGTCAATATGCGTGAACACGATTGGCAGTGTTTAGAAACTAGGTGACCTGCTTGTGGCTGAAATCACTGCTGGAGAGCTGGATAGCCACTATTTTGTTTTTTTTTTATTGGCTGGCCCACAATTCACTCCTCATTGTTTATGTGCAGCAGGTACAACTCATAGCCGACTAGTGCGTGAGTACAGTTGATGTTACCTCGGGACTTGCACCAACATCACGCCATGTATAACCATTATTGTTGTACCCATTCTCTCCCCAATAGAAACTGAAAGATGCTTTTTAAAAACATGGTAGTATTATATTGTTACAGGGAGATTTTAATTAGAAGAAACTAACCGTATCAACACCACATACCACGCACAAGAATGCCGGTCAAGGGGGCGGCTTAAACTGAGCGCCTCAACAATAACGCCATCGTCTTCATCTATCCAGAGTCATTTTGTAGCCCGTGCCAGAGTTACTATCGGCGTCGCATAAAACGCACACAGCGGAGCGCATAGACTAAGCATTAGCAAAGCTACAATGAGCGCAGTCCAGTCATCACCATTAGCAGACGCGTGCATCAGGTTTGACAGCACCGAGAAATCCCCCTACACCGCGATATTTTCAAATCTGTTCTAATTCAGATATTAGAAATGGTTCTAATAACATCTGAATTTTTACACCCCAAAGTCAAGATATAATTGTGTGAGACGTCGTTGTGGATGACTTCGCAAATTTTGACCATCCGGTGTTCTTTAACGTGCGCGGTGTGCCGCAGTGATGATCTTCAAAAAAATTTGGACCATCTAGTGTTTTATTTCGTGACAGCACATTTCACGCACCTCTAACCTTTCGCTTCCATCGATACGTGATGGCCATGGCAGGGGTCGAACCAGTGACCTTCAGTTGAGCATTTGAGCACCATATTCACTCTTCCTCCAACATGGAGGATATATTAGGAAATAAAATAAAAGACAGAACCCATGCGGGCCCCCATGATCACAATATCAGAAAAATCATAGTTCCCTATAAAAACACTAACATTGTATCAGTAAAGAAAATCATGTTTCGTTCCCCCTTTACAATACTTTTGGCCCGGAGCGTATTACAAAATAAATGAATAAATTAATACAAAAATATCTTAAATTATTAACAAACAAATAAATAAATAACTGATATTTTTTGACTGCCATTTCAAATGGGGTCACAAAGTTAAACCATTAGTTTTTTTACTTAAAGAAACAAAACAAAACGCAGCAATTAATAAAGTCACAACTCCGTTTGAGGCCCGCAGGTACGAAGACCAAAAACATCCGTGTACTACGCATCATTTTCATGGTCGCTTAACCGTTTCATCGCCAGAGCTCCCCCTGGTTCATTTTCGAAAGGACTATCAGAAAATGAACACAAACGAAAAAAAAATTGTAGTGGAATAGCACAGTGCTGGATGCTCACCTGTGAGCGGCGATTCCTGTATGGTGCACAATACAGATTTGTTATTGCATGCCCCACGTGCTCCACAGTTAACTTATAGGCGTGGCGCTTTCGGCTAATTGGTATGGCATGATGGTAGGTATAGCGCAGGAACACAACAACGACAAAGGGTCTCCTTCTTGTCTTTTTGTCGTCGTTCTGTTCTCGCGGTATAACTATTCCGTCCACAGTTAACGTTTCATTTCACGCCGACAGCAGTTAGCCATACTCGCGACAATTTATTAGGTGACATGAAGCAAGCAGGTGTTCTGGGCAAGCTGGTGCAAATTCATGGCGAGGATTAGTCCATAAAAAAACAGAACAAACACCTGTTGCATCTTCAGCTGAACTTGTATGAGCACTTGATGAATATATTGGTTGGTTTTTGTGACTTTCTTGCCAGCTGTGTGAAGTGTTATCAATTTTCGATAAACTTCGGTTCTCGTTCAGCGCTCTCCAGCGCCTTTTACCGCATGCCCCATTTTTCTTGCGCTAAGTTTCGCAATCAATCTATATCTAGTTCACCCAGTACACCACGTCATCATGAAAGTGGAAAGGAGACAACCACTCGTTTGTAGCACGAAGCCTCAAGAAAATTCATAAAGAATTCTCTGAAAGAAAAGCTTATAGTTGCCGAAGTATTGTTCCTGGTCCGGGGTTCAAACTATGGACCAACGCCTAACCGGGGCGGCGGCTCTGCCAAATGAGCTAACCAGGACGCTAGCAATTGACAGCACGAGGGCGAATTCACCGACAACTCGAAGCACATGGACATAAGTTTCGCAAATGAGTTCTGCGGAAACGCGCAAGCTGGCTGAAGGGTTAAGAAAGGGGAAAAAAAAGACAACCACCCGCTTGTAGCGTGTTTCCGCAGAACCTGTTCCTTGCGGGTTTCCGCAGAACTCATTTTACCACTTCGTCACGATCCAACGGGGAGCTCTTCTTGACTTCAAGTGACCGGTACTGCTGTATGTTTCTTTCCCTCAACAGACGCTGCAGAAATTCATTCTAAAAACGCATGATATGAAGAAAGAGTGACATGTTGCGATTTGTCTCCAGACTTCTGCAAGGAGCCGGACTTTTCCCGACCATTATGGAAGCTCTGACATCGACAATGTTCGACGGATGGAGCGAAGATGATATCTTTGGTAACTGACTTTATTATAGATCATAAATGTGAAAAGAACGCGCTTAACCAGACACAATGATGCATATGTGATAATATGCCCGATTCATGCGACCACTTCAATTTATGCGAAGGGGGGGGGGTGTCGTAATAAGTAACCAAATTATCTAAATTTTCGAAAGGAAGTACTGATGTTTTGGGATGTAGTGCATTTTTAAAGTGTGTCAGAAGTGAGCGCTTTGTTTGCGCATCAGGTGGAGGTTTCATGAACAAGAAACATTTCGACCTGTTTGCACCACCAGGCTGTGAGGTAATTATTCTGAAGCCCCACGAATCAATAGTAGGTCTGAGAATTTTCCAAGAAAAAATTGAGAGTGTAACCCATGTCTTCGTCACTGTTACTCGATTTATCACGTGCCACCCCACCGCAGTGGTCTAGTGACGATCGCACGGCTTCTTCTCCCAAGCCTGGCGATAGGCATGTGTAGCGCCCTCACAAGTAGCACGAGCAGACATGAAAATTTACAGACGGTAACGCGGAATCTCGCTGGCCCTCGAGGTGGTAAACTCCTCGAGGCAGTCTCTTTCGCTTGCTTTCGTCCTTATTCATGCTATGAGTCGCATGCACAACCGCTTTGACACTCAGTCCACAACCGTGTTCCTATTAGCTACGCTCTCAAAGTCTATTGAGTACATAGACTAAGTATTATGTAGACGGCTTGATCCTTTCGAAATAACAACGGACTAGACATGATAAATCACGCAGGCCTCTCCGCTTTGTGGAATTCTCAACTTACCATATTATGCATGTTAAAATTTGACTGCAAGGTCGTCCTCACACGATGCCTTTCGATATCGGAGGCCATGTAGAGATGACTCGAGGACAGCAATGTCACATGACATCAGCACTCGGGCGTCGTGAGCCACGGCCATCCGTGTGCATGACACCACGTGCAAATAAGCATAATCCGGTGTAGCCCACATCACGCACGTGGTGCGATGAGTTTGAGTTGTTGAATGTGCCCGGCATGCACTCCATTGCGGTACGGCGAGAAAGGTCATTTTCAGCCTTCTGACTCGCGAGCACCCTATCAAGGGAATACGTTGCAGACCACTGCCAGTTTCTTCAATTACCATGCTCATTTTCTTTCACGTTTTAGTGGTATTAAGCTTGATGCAAAGCTGACCTTGACAACAATGTCTGATTTTTTTTTCCAGCTGCGTACAAGGCCATTTCTCCGATTTCCCATCTGCTCACAGACCAGGAAAAACCTGCGTGGGATACTTTCATTCGAGATCAAGTCCGAAAACTACACGCTCCCGATGCTGGCAGAGGCCAGTGTCGAATGTTCGTAGTGAAGGCATCGAAATCTCCACCAGAATATTACGAAAAAGCCTGAACGGGTACAGTCGAATAAGATTTGGGAGAGAAAGGGGGCTCAAGACACAAACACATCATTCCTGCACCTATGCGTGATATATATGTCTATATATATATATATATATATATATATATATATATATATATATATATATATATATATATATATATATATGGTGTCCCACTTAGCTTGTTTAAAAATATGCCGGAACACGTAATTACAACGCGACCAAATGCATGTTACTCACCGTTGTCTGTAGTTAGTAAGACTGCTTTTTTGTGTTCTCAAATATTGTTTAATTAGATATGTTTGATTAGCTAACTTTCCAAGAAACGAAGATAGGTAAAAAAGTTCAATGAGAAAGATTTGCTCTTCCGCACGTAAAAAACTAGGGTTTCTAAAGCATCGATTAGCTAATGCCCCCAGTTCCTTAAAGCTTAAAGCTTACAAAACAATGGTAAGGCCTTCCTTGGAGTACGCCTCCGTAGTATGGGACCCTCACACAAAAAGCAATATACAAAAGATAGAAAAAATTCAGCGCCTGGTAACCCGTTTTATTTACAGTAGGTATAGACGCCGCGATTCCCCCTCTGCGATGTTGCAGTTGGCAAATCTCGAACCTCTTGAGGACAGACGACGAGCTGCTCGACTTAACTTACTCCGTCTAATATATTTTTCTAAGCTCGAAATAAAGCCAGAAAACTACATAGTAAAGGATTCTTCCAGACCTTCCCGTGGCATCAAGCCAATTTTCGCAAGAACTAATTTATAGAAACACTCTTTTTTCCCGAAATCAATCTCTGAGTGGAATTTGTTGCCCCGGAACTCTACGCTTCTTTCCTTTTCACCATGAAATGCGCCTTGTGTTTCCTGGCTTTCACAATACTTGTTTAATTTAACAATTTGTTGTGTGCCTAAGAGTGTGGTGTTTTGCTTATGGATTGTGTTGCAGTGGGTGTACTCAGCCCTCTGGAAACGAGTATAATTTGATGGTGATTGCTATGTTTTTCTTACATTTCGTGTGTACCAGTATCAATTTTGTTGTAACTTTGTTGTACTTTTATTTTACCTTTGAACTTGCTGTACCTTTCCTGCTTGGACCTTAAATGGTTCGCAGTATATGATAAATAAATAAAATAAAATAAAATTAGATTAGTTTGAAAAGCGTCTGATGAGACAGTTTTAAACTTTATAGCTGTAAAGAATTAGTGTTGTTCTGTTAATTGAAAATACCCACGAAATACAAAAAAAAAATATCACGCGACAAACCCGCTCGCGCGTCAGTGCGCAAGATGATTCTAGTGGTCCCTAACGTTCCGCGTACGAACGACACGCTTCCCTCGCAACGGTTCATGACATCGATAAGCAGTCACAGCTGTCATCGTTTTTTGTCACTGTTAGCAAAACGTGTTCGTCGTAAAGCCACCATTATCGTTGCGGCCCTGCCGAGACAGCACAATGGGGCAAATGCTATGGTCGTTCGCACGCTCAACGTTAGGGAGCACTCTAATCGTTGCGCGCACACGAGCCAGTTTGTCAGGTGGTATTTTTTGTATATTGCGGGCATTTGTAATTAGCCGAAAAACATTAATACCTAACAGTTTTTATATTCGATACCATTGGGACATTTTTCAAACCGATATACAGCTTTGCCTTTGAATATTTTCATCCATCTTCATTTGCTGAAGAGTTAGTTGATTAATCAGATCTAGTGAAACAATGTTTGAGGATACAAAAAAAATATTGACTAACTCTAGGCAACGGTTAGCAACATGCGTTTGGTCACATCGTAATTACGTGTCCCGGCATATTTTTAAACTCTGGCTCAAGTTACGTGGGCCACACTGTATATCAGCAGCCTGACTACGTTTACTGCTGGACAAGGCCTCTCCCATGTTCTGCCTGTGAACTCGGTCCTGGACTTGCTGTTGTCAATTTATAACCGCACACTTTCTGTATTAATACATTGATCATTAGAAAGCGGATGCATTGAACGACGAAATGAATCTGAAAAGAATAGACTAAACATGAACGATGACCATTTAATCGAAACGTGGTAGACCAAGCTGGTCCTTGAAGACCTGGAAGACCAGCGAGAACTCGTCGACAGGCCAAGAGGGAAGTCGAAGCCATGAATGTACTTGGACTAGGGAACCCTTCCACCTTAGAGGTTATACCGGGAATCGCTCAGAAAACGGTTTCATAATGAACATTTATTTCTCTCCTTCTATCCTGTACGGCTACACAATGCACTTGCTGTGAAAAATAAAACAGAATGGCCCTCCTTGGTATGTAGGCCTACTACGAGAAGAACGAGAATCTCTCACAGACATTCACTTGGGATGATTTTCGCTCAAACAATTGTTCGAAAGTTCAGCATTCTTTCTCAAACAGTGAGCGAGTGAATTTCTCTTCATACCCCGTGGCAGGATCCCCGGTGACGGAAGCACCATGACCGGGGATCGCACTGTTGTAGGACCATCTCCCCGAGGGAAACCCTGATGGGATGCGAACCGCAGTGGTGTGCATGGCGTTGACCCGGTTAAAACGGGCGTCTACGTGGGTGCTAAGAGGATGGTTTAAAGCGAAACTCGGTGTAGTGTTTGCTCCCGTAAATGTTTGTTTGAAACGCAACGACACGGGAGGAAGGTGGGATTACGTGTACGTTTTATCGCAGATAAACGAGCCTGCTAGCCATTTTCAATCGCAGGCTGCGTCCGTATGACTTCTGCGGACGCGCAAATAAAAATGTCTAGTGTTTCCACTCGACGTCTAGTTTAGCGTTCCGGGTGGGGGAGAGAGTGCACAACACACTTGCTGTGAAAAATAAAACAGAATGACCGTCTTCGGTAGGTAGGCCTACTACGAGAAGAGCAAGGCCCAGTCACAGACATTGCTTGTCGCCGATTTTCACTCGAACAAATGTTCGCAATTACGGTATTTTTCCTCAAACAGTCAGTGAGTGGTATTCGTTTTATGACCCCTGGCATGATCCCCGGTGACGGAAACACCATCCCGGAGCTTCAAAGGTCGTTGTCAGGTGCACTGTTGTAGGGCTTGAGCCATGAGACATGAACATCACTGGACCGAACAACAGATCATGATGAACAGATAGGACTGATCTCATACGTAGCTGACGTTACTTGACGCAAATACACGGTAAGGACCCACGTACGGAAACAATTAGTTTTCTGATAGGCCCATTCGATGTTGAGGGGACCACTGTAGCACACGACTACCAGCAGTGAAAAAATCATGGACAGGCTCTCCGAAGGGAACCTTTAAGAGATACGAAGCAGCAGTGGTGCACATGGCGTTGACCCGGTTGAAACAGGCGTTGACGCGGGTGCTAAAAGAACAGTTGAGTGTGAAACTCAGTGAAATGTTTACTCGAAAAAAAGTTTGTTTGAAACGCAAAGACATGGGAGGTGGGTTGGCTTTTGTGTAAGTTTCATCGCAAACGAGCCCAAATAGTAGACAGATTTAGTCACGTTTCTGCAGCAGCCATACGGACACAGCCTGCTAGCCATTTGCTATGACAACCCGTGGCCGTACCACTGCTGCGGAAGCGCAACTAAATCAGTTTAGTGTTTCCACTCGACGTGTGGTCGAGCTTTGTGGGCTACAGAGAGGGTAAAGTAAAAGAGAAGCGTGTTGCGAGCGGCGCGTGAAAGCTGGCAGCTGCTGTGGGTGAGGGAGAGAGTGACTTGATCGCACAGCTGCCACTTCACCTACTTTGCACCGCTCCAACACTTGCGGCGAAGGAGTTGCACGGACGCACGGGACAGCGTACAAAGGCTAGTCAAAAAGCTGCTTCGCATCTAATAAACGTGTCCATGCAAAGCATTGTACCGACGACGTTGCTGGTTGGCGAAATTTTCAGCGAAGCGCGGGCGAGCTATTGGCATGATCGGCTCGCACGATGAGGTCACGGGAAAACTCACTGCCGCAAGATGTATGGGCTGAGATGGTGTCCAGTGATGAGGTCGGCTATCTGACGTACAACGGGCAGAAAGGTGAAAAGCCTGCGTTTTCGATGTCGAGATGTGTCCGGAGAACGAAGTCCATTGGATGGAGTTCCCAGCGGAGAACATCATGAAGCGTAAGGTAGGTGCACCACCTTAGGATTTTAAAGAAACATTCAATATCATAGTTTAGTTCTCATCCCACTTTTACTTAAACACTTTGAACTGCAGTTCCGGTCTTGTATCAGAAAAGGTTACGGAATAACTAAGGCTTCTTCCGTGAAAAATTTGGCAGATCCCATGTACTTTGGGAATCGATGTTATGTGAGGTGCGCAAATGAAACGTGACTATATTATAACTTTTTAATGAGCGAAAAGTTATGATGTGGCGCCAAATATATGTACAAATGCTGACAGGTATCTGTTAAACAGTCACATATCTATTATCTACCCAGATGTTTACAGTTGCGTGACAATGGAGACTAGCAGTATAAGAAGCGGTAAGCTGATATGAAGCGCTGGGTGATTGCGGGGATGTTTGGCCTGGACACCACTTAATAAGTCAGCAATGGTGCCTAACTGGCGCCTAACGCGATTGACGCCCAACCCGACATGACGGCTGCATCATACGAGCACATATGTAGTGCTTTTGAAAATTCGATAGCGAGCACTGCAACGACAATTCACGTTTTATGAACATTAGGGTATCATTAAAAAGATTGTTCCGAGACCTGGCCTGGCCTTGTCACAGAGAACTTAACTGCCACGAAGATGGCTGGGTTTAATTCCTGCTGGCTCCGTTACATTTGTCGGGTCAGCACTGCCCATGTCAGCTTTTTCTTAACGCTCATGTGTTAAAATTACCTATTTGTGTTCTCGCCGTTCCTGGGCAGATATAAACTGTCAATCACCTGTAACACGTACCCGCATACCAGTGGCGTATACCCCCCCCCCCCTTCCGCGTGTATGTGCCACGCTATGACGTAAAGTGTATGAAGGCGTACGTGACATCATTGTGGCATTATTACTGTCAAGACCAGAGAGTGACATTCGTCAAACCATACTACCCTCCTATA